CTGATGGCTGGTTTCCGCTTGTGCGCAGCATGTTTGTGACTTTGACATCCTCGATTGCACCAGCAGCACCGAGCTTGCACCAGCCACTGCGGGCGGAATGCTCGTGTTTCAAAGTATAAGTCACACAGTCTTGAGTAGAGAGATATGCACGACTTGTTCATGTTTACTGTACGGAGAATGTGAATGCAGCAAATAGCATCACGCGCACGCAGCAGCCAGCACCCTGCTGCACCGCATTCGACGGAGTTTGAAATCAGCCGAGCCGAGGCCTGCGCGAGGCTATGTATGGGATCACACATTCTGATTTTTGGTCGCCGCTACAAAAGTGGATCCAGTCATGTTTGCGTAGCCATCATTCTCATAAGGGTCTGCGCAGGCCGACATCGTTCTTTCAAGCGCGCGCGTCGCCATGATAATAATTAATAGCAGTCGAGGCGGTCCGAGCGGTCATTCGGTGAGATTGCAGTGATTTCGGCCGGGGGACCGTGCTAAGCAACGGCAGCATCGGCTGCAATTAAGCATGCATTCCGTGATTTGCTTCGCAAGTCGCAACGCAACGCCTTTGTGGGATGTGCGACAAGGCATGCAAAACATTTGAGTCAGACGGCTCGGTCTCGATCTGGCGCTTGATCGAATTTCGCCGCGGCATATGTCGGGAGCACAGAGATAGATATACGCGGCGTAGAAGCCAAGACTTATTAATTGCGTTGATGAGACTGCGAATCTTGTAGTCTTGAGTTGCGATGCGGCGTCCATGCTGCACAGTCCCGCGAGTCAGCGTGCTGTGGCCGTTGCCGTTGGGTTCCTGCTGAACGTATCTCAGCACCGTTGTGCTGCCGGCAAGACATACGGTACGCACCGACTGACTACTGCAACGGACGTCGATGATCCACGCACGCACGTTCAAGCTTCGATCTGAACGCCGGCCTGCAAAGTGATGCACCGCAATCGTCGCCCGCGCTGATGGACAAGATTGCTTGCCATGCTTGGCTTAGCGCGCTTTGCGAAAGCGACCCGGCGCGGACATTCAACAATTTCCTCTGCAGTAGAAGGTCGGAGCGAGCAGTCTTGCAGGTCAGGGCCCTCTCTCTCTGCCTCTCGCATCTCGCGCACTCGCGCACTCGCACAGAACACCATTCGGCATGCATCCTCTAGCTCTGCTGGCATTCTGCTGCTGCCGCCTCAACCGAGAACCTAGGTGAGCTGCTTTCGGGGTTCTTTGTCGCTTGCGTTCGCGCATACCCGACGCGCCCACGATCTTTCCGGTGCTTATTTGCGGTTGCTGCCTCGATGCCTCGCCGCATCGATCTCCCTGGACACGAGCGCAGCGAGAGAACACCAAGAGTGGCTGACTGCTGATGGAGCCAAGCATAGAAGAGCTGCACAAGGACTTGAATTACTTCATCCTCTGACGTAGCTTAGCGCGGAGTTTTTCCTCACGCGCCTAGCTTTGCCCCCCGCGCGCGTCCGTCCGTTCGGCCTCTGCTCCTTCGCGCATCCACTCAAGACTGCCGAAGTGCCACCTCCCTACAGGAGTTGCGCACAACCAGCAAAGCCTTTGCCCGCACGCGGCGTGAGACTGCTCACAAATCGCTTCCGTCAAGGCACGGCATTTGGTACTCACACTGCGGCTCTGCTCCTTCCTGCCCGCCTCTTCTCGATCTAGCCCCTTCCCCCCTCCCCCCTCACTCTTTTCAAAGTCCGGCTCGCCGTGAGACGAGTCGCATCACAATCGTTTATAACAAGGGATCGATCTCTTCGCAATCTGCCTTGCATTCACCTCGCTCAATCACCACCCACCATCACTTGCGTGTGTAGCAACCCCAGGTGTCCGCAAGTCGCGTCGCGAACACCCTTCACACCATGGCGTTTCCATCAGCGCTGCCGAGCCTGGCAGCAGCTCTCTTCGCCCTCAGCGCCCTGCCATCGGCAGTGATGGCTCAACAAGACAACGACCCGAGCTCAGCATCCACTTCCACCGTCGTCTCCTCCCTCATTCTCAACGGCGTCATCTTTGGTGTGGAAATCCTCGTCTTCTTCATTCTCAGACCCCGTTTCCCGCGCATCTACCAACCAAAGAGTGTTCTTGGTCCCCGAAAGTGAGTGCTCGAAGGCGCGAGAGACGAGACGAGGCGATTTTCGCCGAGAATACTTGACTCATTCTATCCTTTGACACTCATCTCCCTTTCCATCCGCAGTGAGCGCACTCAACCTCTGCCAAAGAGCCTGTTTGGCTGGATCCCGCAGTATCTCAAGACGCCCACCACCGAAATAATCTCAAATCAGGGAATCGACGCGTTTCAATTCGTCGACTACTTGGAGATGATGATCTGGATTTTCGTGCCCATCTGGGGTTTCACCTGGGTATTCCTCATGCCCCTGTACTCTGTTCAGTCCACTGGTGGCAAGAGCGGCTTTGACATGTTCACCTTCGGCAATGTCGGTCTACCGAGACGTGAGCAGTTGCGTTACATTGGTGTGCTCTTCGCACAATGGATCGCCACATTCTGGATTCTGTACAACATCCGCAAGCGTCTCAGCCTGTTCGTTCAGAGGCGTCAGCAGTGGCTCGTCTCGCCGAAGTACAGTCAGTCAGCCCAAGCCAAGACCATTCTCATCACGGGTGTGCCCAACGACTACCTCTCTGAGCGTAGGCTAGAGAAGATGTACGGTCAGCTTCCTGGAGGAGTTGCAAAAATCTGGCTTAACCGCAACCTCAAGGACTTGCCAGACCTGGTTCAGGACCGCAGCAAGGCTCTCAACAAGCTCGAGTCAGCCGAAGCCAAGCTCGTCAAGCTCGCCCTTAAGAAGGTCCGTAAGGGCAAGGTGCAAGCTGGCGGCGAGGAGCACGCAACCGACAGCGAGATGACCGTCGAGGCCGCAGACAAGTACGTGACTCGCAAAGAGCGGCCTAGTCACAAGCTCGGCGCCCTCGGCTGCTTTGGAGAAAAGGTCGACACGATCGAGTGGGCACGCGAGGAAATCGCTAGACTCAACAAACAAATCAGCGACCAGCGCGAGAATCTCACCGACTTCGAGCGCTTCCCACCACAGAACAGCGCATTCATCCTCTTCAATCGTCAAATCGCAGCAGCCATGGCCCTCAAGGCTCACGCTCATCACCAGCCCTACCGCATGGCTTCTCACTACGGCTCTGCTCACCCTGGCGACATCGTCTGGCCCAACCTGAACATGAACCCTTACGAGCAGAAGATCCGCACAGCCATCTTTTGGGCTGCCACGCTTGGTCTCGTCATCTTCTGGATTATTCCAGTCGGGTTCGTGGGTATCGTGTCCAACCTTACCGGCCTCTGTTCAAGAGTCTCTTGGCTGGCTTGGATGTGCAGAATCGAGCCCGCAAGCGGTATCATCCAAGGTATTCTGCCCACGGTCTTCCTTGCCGTGCTCAACATGCTCTTGCCAATTGTGCTCCGACTCTTCGCCAGACTCTCTGGGGTGCCTACGTACACGGGCATCGAGCTTAGCTTGATGGACCGATTCTTCCTCTTCCAGATCCTCAACAACTTCCTCTTCCTCACCATTTTCTCTGGTGTCGCGCAGGGTGTGGGCGAGATCGTCGCAGCTCTTTCGAATCCTCAAGGACTGCCCACTCTCCTCGCGCAATACATCCCGGGCGCTTCCATCTTCTTCCTGTCTTACATTGCCCTTCAAGGTCTGACCGGTGCAGCATCCGGCTTCATGCAGATTGTGCCCCTCGCCATCTTCTACGTCAAGGCTTTCCTCCTCAACTCCACGCCCCGAAGCGTCTGGCACATCCAGAACGACATGGGATCGCCGGCCATGGGTACCACTTTCCCCGTGACCAGCTTGCTCAGTGTCATCGCCATCGGCTATATGGTCATCGCGCCAATCACGGCAGGATTTGCCAGCGTCTCTTTCATCCTCTTCTTCTTGCTCTACAAGTACCTCTATCTTTACGTCTACGACGTCAAGCCCGAGAAGGAGACTGGAGGCCTTTTCTTCCCCAAGGCTTGCGCGCAGCTCTTCTATGCTCTCTACCTGGAGATGGTCATCCTCACGGTTCTCTTCTTCGTTGCTCAAGACGATCAGGGCAACCAATCTGCCATCCCTCAAGGCGCATTCATGATCGTCCTTATCATTCTCGTCGCCATGTTCCATTACACGCTGTTCAACTCCTTCGGCGACCTCTTTACCGCCTTCCCGCTCTCTCTTGCTCCCAGTGAGCAAGAGGAGAAGGCTGCCATCTTGGACGACGCAGCCACTCGTCACGACTCCAACTCCTCTCCCGGAGAAAAGCAGAAGACGCAGGCCCATGCTGCAGGAGGATCTACGGCCATCGACATCGATGGGCCCAACAGCAAGACTAACCTGGTGGAGGACGAGGATGCGGAAGAGGATCCCATGCTAGCTTTCCAGCATCCTGCTACCAAGGATCCTCAGAGAACGCTCTGGTTCCCCAACGACAACCTCGGCTTGGGATCCGCAGCTGTTACTGGAGCCCAGAGGCACGGTCTGGAGGCGACGAACAGGAACAACGAGGTCAACGAGAAGGGTCGCATCACTACCGACGCTCGTGTGCCTCCCGGCGAGATGCTCAACTAAGCTTCTCGCGTGCGGATCACGTCGCACATTGGTCGGCCTGTGTCAAATCTCACTCGAAAATTCAGTATACCAATCTCGTTTCCCTGCTTCATGCCACACCTCCCCTTTACCACCCTGCACCTTCAAGCCGGGCAGCAATTTGCCATTCCTGCTCTTCACAACTCTCTCCTTTGGTAATCGTTTGCACGCTCGAAGCTTCTCGTGTAACATCACTCGACCCGTGCTGCTTCAGCAGACATCGTGCAATGAGAAAGTACGGCTAACGAAAGGTGTGCGCTGCTCGGTATGATGACCGGAACGCGACAAGAAGGCTCAGCTGACCACCGTTGACAGTCAGATGTGAACTTGTGGAGCTGGGTGCTCAATGATCACCTCAGGGTATTGCTACTACCAACAGTGGTCAGCTGAGCCCTCATGATGTCCACAAGACACGGATTGATAGTGTGATGGAGAAAAGAGTTGGATCCCGATCGTGTGTTCGTAGTGACAAAGATTACATAATCCGGAGCGTCGAGTGTATTGTACATAAAACAAGCAGGATCGCCAGCAATTTGGCTTTCCACGACGAGGCGTGCATGCGTCGCCTGAAGTCAGAGTCTGAGTTGATACGACGTCTCCGCTTGAGCAGGAAGCTGCTTGGAGCTGCGCGCTCTCCTCCTCCTCCTCCTTAAATACCAAAGTCGAGCAGCTCGAGGTCGTCTTGGTCTACATGTCCATCGCGACGAGCCGAATCGTCCTGCTGCTGGTGCAGAGCCCAAGTTTCGTCCTGATCAAAGCCAAAAGCGTGCTTTGCATCTTCGTGCCCTCCAAGCCCAGCAGTCTCGTGCGACGTGTCCCTCTCATCCAAAACGACTCCCTGTCCCCCTGAAGCTTGCTCATGCTCCTCTTGCTCCTCTTTGGCTTTGATCTCTTCTGCTGTGAGGAAACGTCCTCCCGGTCCGCGCGGCCTGCGCATGGCGTGTTTGTGCCGCGACTCGTGCTGATACGGCTATACGTGACACAGGGTCAGGAGTGAAGCGGGTCTTCTTAGCGAAGACGTTTGGCTCGGGGCAGCCGAGCATTGATTGGTGGAGAAGCTCACCTTGGTCAGATCGAAGCTGCTCAGGTCCATCTCGCCAGCATCCTTCGCATTCTTCAGCGTGGTCCTCGCTATGTCTATTCTTCTTTTTCTTTCTATCCTCTGACGAGCCGCTCTGCGCTTCAAGATTCGCTGATACTGCTTCGCATTGACGTAGAGCGGCTCTTCATCCGCGATTCCATCGCCAGCAGGCACGGTGCTCTTGGCATCCAAATGTGCCCCGTCCGCCTCGCCAACGAGCCCCTTTGCAGGATCGAGGCTATGATCACCTAGATTGCCCTTGTACAGGGTGTCCACATCTCGGTGCGCTGCGTCCCGCACTCTCAAAGACTCGTCGTCCGCGCCATCAAGGTGCGAAGCGCTCATGTCGAAACCTGAGAGGGGGTCGGAGGTGACGTGTTGATCAAGTTCATCGCCTTCCAGTAGCGTGCTGGTCTTGGCAGCATCGTCCGTATACAGCGTTTCGCCCAAGCCCACATCAGCGCGCCGGGCACCGGAGCGCTGGACGTTGGCACCTCCAATTGGACTGCCTGGCCCGCCTCCCTGCTCGAGCCAGCTATGAACCAGACTTCGAGCTAAATCGCCGCTCGAGACACCTGCACGGACTGCCAGACTTTTGCTGCTTTTCGGATCGCCTCCGACGTGCCTTTCGTTCGATTCTGCCAATTTCCGTCTCTTTGCAGGGCCTCGCCGCGCTTTCGGACGTACAGTTCCACCGCCTGCTGAGTCGTCCTGATCATCAAACATGAACGGTAAGGTTCCAGCTGAATCTGCTGCGCCATTGTATAGTGGAGCTGAAGCGGCTTGCTGGTGGCTATAAGGGGACACGCCTTCGCCTAGTGGGCCTCCGTAAGGCGAAGAATAGTACGTGCTCATGCCGGACGGGTGTGTACCTTGCAAGCTCCCAGCTGGATGTTGATAATCTACATAGCTTTCTGGTGGTCGGTGTGGGTCATGATCGAAGCCACTAGAGTTCCACAGAGCAGAAGAGCCGGGTGTATGCGCTTGATGATGAGAGTGATGCGACTCGTAGTCGGGCATGTAGGAGGAAGCGGATGGTCCGGCAATGGTTGAAGCAGGACCAAAGTTGCCACCAGAATTGCTGTGAGAAATGTAGAAAGCTGGAGAGCTGGCGGCTGTAACACCTCCTGCGCCTGCTCCGAAGGCAGTGCCGAAATGCCCATTGTTTGCAATGGAAGAGCCACGATGGAAGTGGTCATCATATCCAGCGGTGTGGCCGAGACGCTGCAATGAGCCGAGCGGAAAGCGTATCTACGTGAGCTTGCGGGGGCCAAGAAATTTAATTCCACTCGCAATGCAGACATGACCTCTCTTCCTCTCGTCCTCTCTTCCTCTCTTCCTCTCTTCCTCTCTTCCTCTCTTCCTCTCTTCCTCTCTTCCTATCTGACCTCCGACTGAGCCACGTACACCCGCTAGCGTGATCCAACAAGGTGCGCAAGCGCTTGCCAATCAAGAATGCTTAGTAGGGGCACTACTTCAGACGCCAGGCGCACGTGGTACCAAGCCCTCGCATCCAAAGCCACTAGACTCCTCTCAAGATGGTGGACACATCTCCAAACTACGAGCCTCGAAAACCTACTCACGTCTCCGCTGTGGTGCATCTGCATCGCCAGGCTCCTCGTGCCAGGTCCAGGGCCTGCTTGCCCAATCGCGTGCTCCCCTTCTCCGCCCCCGTTCTGTGTGTGTGTCGTGTTGACAGGTGAATGAGGGTAGAAGGGCGATTGATGCGCTTGCATAGCCATCGAGTCTGCTGGCCGCCGAATATGCCGCTCTTCCTCCAAAAAAAAGCCTGCAGTCTTCAGGTTGCAATGCTTATGGCGAGAAACAAAGCAGGTCGGCCCGAACAGCATCAAGCGGACGAACGTTTGCTTGGGAATCGAGTACGGCCCAGGTACCTGCCAGGGGGGGTGATGCTGAGGTCAGGACAACCACTGCTGGGTAATTTCGATAATTGATTTCCAAATGGACCTCAATTCATCTGGTCGACGGAAGAGGTAGAGCTTGCAGCGAATTCTAAACTTCTTGATCAGGTCGGTGATACGTACGTTGCCGATGCGCACGCGCTCTTCCAATTCGGGCCTTGGTGGCCTACTGCGTGGCGTTCCGAAGCGCGTGAAATGAGTCCAATGCACGCCAAGGTGGACCAGCAGCGCGTGGTGTGAATACGGTACAGAAGAGTGCGCGCGCAAACCGAGGCCATGTACGATCCGTCTGGGGGAAGTGTGAATGACGGAGGAGTGTTGAGATTGGTGATGTGGCCATGAATGAGGGGTGGAAGATCCAAGTGAGTCAGGAATAAAGTCGCTAGTGAGTCTTGAGCGCAGTCAGACTTGATTCACGCTCGATGCTATAGGTAGCCGTACTCACACGCCACACCTCTCATCAAATAATCGGATTTCAAGGCACGATTCTACCGAGATCAGATCAATTCGCGCGGCCTTTCGGTGATCAGCGGCCCAAGTGAAGCTTCACGTGATCGTTGATCGCCGTGACTATCCTGTCACGTGTTCGTCTTCTGGTCTCCTTGCGCGTCAAGCCCACTCACCACTACGACTGCCGCTAATAGGTATGATGAGAGAAAGACGCCGTGAGAGCGTGACTGGGTGAGGGCATGCTGCAGCAGCATGTATTCTTCTTCAAGACTTGCAGAAGCGCACCCGCACATGCGGCTGTGAGAGAGAGGCGGCAGTCACCAGTACTGTACTCTGAGTGGACTTGATCGCCTTGGGTGCATGCATGCACGCAAATAGACATCAGCAGTGCGTGTCTCTCTCCGCCGCAGGGCAGTAGTCAAGAGCGGTACAGTAGTAGTCTAGTAGTACATAGTCAAGAGTGTAGTCTAGGGCAAGCTCTCCAGTGCTGCAAGAATGCAGGGCTGCGTGCTGGGATCGAGCTCGTGAGGAGCGCGCCAGCAAGAGCCCTCGATCAAGTTTCGAGCGCTCGTGACTCAATTTTCATTTGATGTCATTTGAAGGGAATGGTAAATCTGATTTTCACAATGCTGTTGTGAATGTGTGCGCACAGCCACGCACGGCGCAAGGTAGCAGAAACAACCATCCGCGCAAGCGCTGATCTAGAGAAAGCTTAATCTTGTTGTATAGGTTCGCAATCTGGTGTTTCCGCTGTTCTTGTATCAAATCACGAACTCGGGACTCTGGACTGCTATACACTTGACATATGGTGGTGAATGCGTGATTCAAAGTCGTGGAGTGTATACGTGTATATATATATTATGACTTTGGGTGTAGAAAGGCACACGGGCGAAATTCGGCAGGTGCCAGGTCGTCGGCCCCCGATGGGACATGGAGAGAGGCTTGAGGCGTGTGTCTCGCGGTGCTGCTGCTGCATGCATGCATGCAAAGTAATGCCCTGCTGCGTATATACTTGGCACATACAGTACAGTCAAAAGTATCACGCAGTCTGCGCGGCAGCAGCCGCTGCATGGCTTAATTGCGACTCGCGATGACAGCTCATCTCTCTATACATAGTTCTGTCAAGCTAAAAGGTCGACGATGAGGCGCATGCAGACAGCAGACCACGCTTTGATCAGGTGCATCGCGCACTCGGTGATGTGATGTGCTGCGCTTTATACACCGCATACCTATACCTGACTCGTGACTGTGCTGCTACCGCACACGCTGATTCTGTAGCCGCTGATGACAGAGAGCCAGTCGCGCTTCAGCGATCCGAAAACGCAAATCACGCGGCTGGCAAGTCGTGAGCGCATGCACGCTCATTCGCGATTCTGTTCAGGAGGATCCCTCTCGCTGGCGCGCCTGTTCACTTCAGCTTCTGCCTTCCACACATCACGTCACTTCATCTCTCGCATAGTCAGGTCACGCAACGTTACGCACAGGATTCTCGATTGAGGTGTCTCGACGTTGACTTGGGATTTCGGTTGGATAATCTACGCCTCCTCATCAAAGCTGCTGCTCTCACAGTCATCCGAAGCCTTTCCCATTGTCACAGGCGTGTCTCGTCACTCGAAACACCTACCTTTCCGTTTGCCTTTCGTCCGCGTCACAGAAACGCCGTTGGACCGCGAGTACCTGTCGTCCAGATTCCCGTCCTGCCTCCATCCTTGCTGCTCCGTCCCGATCATCCTTTCCAGACACATCGCCCGTCCAGCCAGTTTCATCGTCGTCTAAGGAGCATCTCACCCTGCAGACCCCGGCAAGCGGAAGACCTCTACCTCCCCTCGTCACTCTAAGCTGCGCAATCTATACCCGCACGCCAGAAAATCTTCTTTATCTCCGCACGGTGTCGCTCGAAGTCACTCCCTTGGCACGGCATCGCCTTCACCACTCTTACCGACACTTTACCGCAGGGTTGTGCCGATGTCAGAGCTGCTAGTCGTTTGCTTCGCACTCACTTCGTAACATCTACCCGAGCGCCAAAGCCCACCGGCGGCTAGCGTCGTCGTTGCGCTCGCTTCGGTCACCTTGTTGCTCAGATCCGAGGCGAATTTAGGTGTGGCGCTAGGCATTCAAGGAGCCGCAAGTCACCGTCTTGGATTGGATTGGCTGCATACAGTGGATTTCACATTACTTCGCTTGGTTTGGGCTGCAATTAGTGCAGCCCGCTCAAGGAGCACTTCGTCACAGATCTTGGTCAAGTATATCAGATTGCGTGCCCCTCTGCTCTAGTCAGTCCTCCTCTGGCTTTGCATCGTCCAGCTCGCCGCACCTGCAAAGCGCAAGTATGACGTCTCGACCGCACGAAGGCACTGCTCCCACTCATCGTGCTTCGCACTCACCAACCTCTTCGTTTGGAGCGGAGCGCGGCAACTATGGGATGGGAACCAGAGAACAACGCGGAATCGATCCGATCCAGGCATTGCAGTCGCATCGCGCCACGTCAGCCACAGCGATTCCTCGACACAACAGCCTCTCACCAACACCAGCCGCTTCCCAGGCTGGCTTTGGCAGTCGTCATAGCTCTTTCGGCGTTTCAACAGGTTCGGCCTTTCCAGCCAGCCCCAGTCAATCCGGTTTCGACCACGGGGTCACGGGCAGCACTCATATGGTCCCTCCATCTGTGGCGAACACTGCCGGAAAAGCGTCCTCGCCTCGGTCCTTTGACCCCTCGATACCTGTAGCAGGCGGCAACGGCGGCCAGCAGACGTTGACCGCTAACCATTCTCCTCTCCGTTCATTCGCATCAGCCCAGAGTGGTAGCAGCAGTGACCATAGTCGTCACAGCAGTGGGTACGCCTCATCACTGGGGCTTGGTGGCAATGCCAACGCATCCCACGGCGGCAGCGCCACGGGAAGTAGTACACTCGGTGGGCACGCATACACCCCGCACCAAAGCCTGCGCAATTCGAGCGCTTCGAACGGTCATTTAGCTCAACAGGCAGAAGATACCAGCGTCGAAGCAGCCATCGCTGCTGCGACCAAGAATGGCCAGCCTTTGACGCCCTCTGCGATACATGCGGCGGCTGCGGCTATCGCTGCTTCCTCCAATCGACCACTCCTTCGATCTAATTTGTCGGACAATAGCAGCGTAGGAGGAGGTGCGAGCCTGCTGCCAGTGTCTCCAGGCTCCACAGGCATTCCAGCGTCAAGCCTGAGCGGCGGTATTTCGGGGACAGACGAAGTGTCGGTATCAAGCTCGAGCACGAGCGGACCGCTCTCAGCCTCAGATCCTCGTACACAGCTGTACATCTCGAACTTACCCTACAGGGTGCGATGGCAAGACTTGAAGGATCTCATCCGCAAGGCAGGCACAGTGCTTAGAGCAGACGTTTCCCTCACACCGGACAACCGATCTCGTGGCTACGGCACGGTGCTGTTGGCGACTGAGGAGGATGCATTGCGAGCAGTAAACATGTTCAAAGGATTTAGCTGGCAGGGCCGGACGCTTGAGGTGCGCATAGATCGATCTGGAACGCTGCTCTTGCCGACTACTCCTGTTGGGGAGGAAGGCAGCGGGCAGAGTGGTCTGCTTGATGTTCCGAACCCTTCGATGAGCCTGCTTCAAGGTGATTCTCCGCATGGTCTTAGCAACTCAGCACCCCGTGCATCGATCTCGCACTCTCCAAACGTTCCGTCTCCGGGCAGCGGCATGCTGCCATCTCCAGCTATGCTCAACACGATTGCAAGCGGCGGACCCGCCAACGCTGTCCCTAGTCCTGGACTTTTGGATCCTTCAGCGGCGTCTTCTGGCTCTCAGGGACGCCAATTGCAGCAGTACCGCCCAGAGTACCCGACATACGACCAATCGCAGCAGCGTTCGCACAGCGCACAATATCCATCGCCACTTCCACGTCCTGCGCAGCAGCTCCCTCATCGACAGGGCGCATACCCTTCACCGCAGCCATATCACAGACAGCAATATCAGCAGGCGCACCAAGCTCAGCAGCAGTTACAGCCTCTTCAGCAGCAGCAATCCTACGGTCAAGCTTCCGGCTCCCGCGCGCCTAGCGGTGGCTACAGCCCAGCATTGATTCCATTCCTGAACAACGGGCGATCGGCGTCTGTCTCGGGCGGTGCAGGTGCCCCGCCTAGCGCCTCTAATGGTTGGGGCTCAGCTGGCCAACAAAGTCCTGTTCCTTCGACGTATAATCGTAGTGGCAGCTTCAGCGGCTTGTCGACTGCTCACAGTCAGCCCCCCGGCTACCACTCGCCTCAGCATTTGCACCATACCGCCACTGCTCCGCCTCCTAATCTGAACGCTGGACTAGGCAGACCAACAGCGTATCTTGGCCCGCCTTTACCACCTGGAAGCGCCTCTTTACCTCCCGTCAACTCGTACTACGGCCGAGTCTTGTTTGTCGGCAACTTACCCTTCCACTGTCAATGGCAGGATTTGAAGGATCTCTTCAGAGCTGCAGGAAACATACAAAGGGCAGACGTTGCGCTAACACCGGAAGGACGCAGTCGAGGTTTCGGCACGGTGCTGTTTTCAAGTCCGGATGACGCTCAGAACGCAGTTCGGATCTATCATGGGTGGGTTTCCTCGCGCGCGATCACGCCTACCTTGCATATCTTATCCACTGACGCGACTACACTTGCGTTCTGTAGGTACGAGTACAGTGGACGGACCCTCAAAGTCCACTTTGATCGATTTGCGCAGATGACAGCTCCTGCTCCTGGTCAGCTGCCAGCTACGCCATCGCAGTATACAGGTGCTTTCAGCTCGGCCAACCCACCTAGTGCTCCAGTCGCGCAGACCCAACCAAAAGCTCCGCCCACAAATTTGATGGCGCAGGCTGCGAAAGCGCCCATCCTCACGCAGCAACCCAGCCCTGGCTACGCTGGAGCTCACATCGGGCAAGCAGGGGGAGGCTACCACATCCAGTCCCACGAGCAGAATCAACAGCAGCAGCAGCACCAATACGTGCTGCAGCAGAGATCTGTGCAGCAACAGCAGCAAGCCCAACATTTCCAACGCCAGCAGCAAGGCCCATTCGACTACGCATCCCAAGGGCACAATTCAGACCAGTCTGGATCTTACGGTCCCCGCGCTGCGCAGCAACAGGCGCACAACGCGAACTTGGGGGGAGGCAATCCCTATGGCAATTTCTCGTCTTTGGGTTATGCGGGCGATCAATCCCAGGAGTATGGCGGACAATACCAAGTCCAGGCTCAAAGCTCTCAGAACGGCTCAGGAGCAGCGCGGCCCGGTCACATCGCCATGCCTGCCAATAACTTCTTCGCTGTTGGGCCTCTCTCGCCCGCTGTCGCCCCTCCCGTGGGAGGCCAAGCGCAGCGTCAGACCGTCCCGTCCATTCCGATGACGCCAGGCATGCCCAACTTTACCTTTGTGCCCATTCCGCAAACACCTCCAGCGTATCCTCATCACATGCTCAGTCCAGGCTTTGGGCCCTTCAGTCCAGGTCTTGCGTCTCCGCACATGGGAGGACCTGCCACCCCTGGCGCGGGGTCAGCTGCATTCAACCCCATCATCAACCCTGCTCCTGGTGCCCAACTCAATGCCGGCTATAATCCGTTGTTCCCTCCTGTCGGCTTTCAACAACCTCAAGGTCTACCGCAGACCCCCCACTGGTCCACGGACACGTCTTTGCACCAGCAGAGGCGTGGCAGACCGTCGCACAATCAGACGCAGCCTCAAATTCCGGGCGAGGTCGAGCGTCAGAGGCTTGAGGAAGCCACTACTCCGAGCGCGAATCCAGACATGGGCAGGGCTGCAGCAGTCGAGCCATCTGAGCAAGCGAAGGTCGCGGACGCCGAAGATACCAAGCCTCCTCCAGATGAGGGCTATCCATTTCCTCTTGTGCAGCCGCACCTGGCCTCTTCTCTGTTGCAGCGGCGAGCCAGCACGAATTCGCCAGCCGGATCTCCATTGCCCGGAGGTCCAGGCAAGAGCATCCAGTCAGGCTCGCAAGCTGGATTGACTGCAGCCGAGAATGATGGCCAAACTGCAGACCGTCGCGGCTCGTTTGACTTGCGGCAATTGGCCTCTGGAGACAAATCTGTGCTCACCGGTCTGGGCCTACCGAGCGCCAACACCGAGGAACTGACGCGGGCGATCGCGCGCATGAGCGTTCAAGGCACCGCTTTAGCCAAGGGAGTCGGGTCCGCTTCCGGCGCTGCTGCTTCCTTCAGCGCAACTCCACCATCTGCCGGATCGGTGTCGAGCACGTCAGACCGCCCGAGACATCCTTTGGCCGAGCAACTGAGCTCCACCGATCTGCAGACCTCAGCTGTCGGAAACGGCACTGGGGTCTCTGGAAGCGCTCTTGCGGACACTCCTAGCGCGGACGGAAGCGCTGCTGGCACGCCAGGCACGCGTTTGCCGTGAAGAGGCTACGCGCATGCACACCCCCTTTTGCACCCATCGCCCTCTTCGTGTTCAGACCCTGGTCTCTGCGGGTGCTCTGGTTGCGATGTTCAGCTGGGATAGAGCTCGCATGCTCCCCGCGCATCTCTCCTTCCCGCCCTCAACTTCTCCATCGTCATTTTTCTCATGATTTCCCTCCCTTCATACAGCACATGGACTCGTATCGCCTCGCTTCGTCATACGTATTCCTCTTCCCAAAAATTCCACGGCTTTCCCGCTTCCTCGAATCGGACTTTTGTGTCAAGACATCATCAAACAAAGAGATTTCCATCTTATCGTCTGTCTCACGTCGACCGCGACCACGCGCCACCTTGAATCTTAATGAAATTGGCGATGGACACACATCACTGGGGCCGCTAGACACTCTGTGCGCTCTCTTTGTCAATAGCATTGGGCTTTGTGATCGTTTGACATTCTGCGTGTCATTTCAAGTGCGCACTCGACTTGGCTGGGTGCAGTTCATTGGCAAGGCTCCGTTTCGGATATCGCCCAAGGCCTCGGGTATATGACCAGCTGAGAACCAGCACGGACACCTTTGCAAAATGGCAAGTACAATCCGACAACTCTTCAGAAGGCCGGAACAGGCTGATCAAGTTGATGCCAAGATCTTCGCTCTTCTACCAAAGGTGCGTGTTGCCCAGAATGTCCGGTGAAGCGATGCTTTGCCCAGCCCCCATCATAGCATTGTGGCCACCGATGGCAGAGTGGTTGGAGGCGATCGAGCCGGATCCCACCGACATGGGAGAGTCGGCCAAGTGCAGGTCCAGATCCAAGCCGCTCATTCCAGGAGCCAGGAACACTGCAGTGTTGCGCATGAGGGGAGCAGATGAAGCATTGACGCTGAACGCGAAAGGATCGCCTAGGCTTGGTTCGTGAGAAGCGCCCGACGCTTCTGTCCTAACTTGGCTGGATCTTCGCGAAGATGCGCTCTGCACCTCTGGATTGCCAACGATCTTCTCTGCCGCATGATCGGCTTGTTGCGAAGCATTCATGAGCCCAGCCCAATCAAAGTTGAGCGTGTCGCCGTGGGTCGTCGTGGCGTCAAACACCGCAGGCGCTGATCCTGAAGCCCCATTTGTGCCTCTTCCTGCGCCTGACATGTGTTGCTGCGCCGCCTCAACGTTGTTGTGCTGTTCGTTGAAGTGAGCCAAGGGTGGGCCATGCATATTGTGTGGCTGTGGGGGCGCGAAGCCAACTGCCGTGTGCGAAGGTCCGTTTGTATCCCGCGAAGAATGGCCATACTCTGACCGCATAAAGGCAGCTTGGGCCAGAGCCAGTTGGTAGTCTTCAGGTAACGACGTACCAAACATCTGATTGGTGGGCTGAGACTGTGTTTGAGACCCGCTCGCGTGGAACTGCTGGCCATGCACATCAAACGAATTGGACCTTGCAAACGGTGCCTGTGAAGGCGTAGCCTGTTGCGACATAGACCTCTGATGTTGGAAACCGTGAGGGCCATGCTGGTGCATGATAGGCGGATGTGGTTGGTGCAAGTGCATCGTAGCAAAGTGGTTGCCCATGCTGGACGTGGACGCCCAGCTATGAGGACTGAGGGGAGCATGAGCAGCATCGTCGTAGCTTGCACTGAAGACACTCGCGCCACCTTCGTTCAAGCTGACTGCACTCGCGCTGCCATTGCTTCCGGCATTCGAAGCTGGACTAGTCTTTTTCAAGTGGTTGCCAAATCTGGACAAGGGCCGTCCGCGTTGCGGTTCCTGTGCAGAGGGTCCAGCGCCATCGTCGTCGCTCTCGACATCTTCGAGCGTCTTTTCTGCAGCAAATGAGGACGCTCCCATGCCGCGATTTGAAGCGCTGCGACTCCGCTGCGCAGCCGTGGGTCTGTAAACGCAGTCTCCAGGCGCACCAAGACCGTGTGAGATGCATCTTGCGCAGGGCTCGTTGCCGTCGCATCGTGTCTTGAGCTGCGAGCATCTGAGACAGGCTAAAAGGTAGTTGGTCGACAATGGTATCAGAGCGTGAACAAACGTCTACGCCGTCATTGTACGAGTGGCTTGCTCACCCTTGGGAGACCTGTTTCGGATCACGGATCCTGAGCCCTTTGCGCCCACACCTTTGCTGCGCGAGTCGCGCTCGTGAAGCAGCCGATGATGGCGCACCAGAGAATCTTGTCTGCTGAAACACTGCGTTTCAAGTGATAGATGGAAGTGAGCTCGACTGTGCACTCGATGCGGGGGGCCGCAGAGCTCGCACTCACCTTGCCACACATTTCACAGACATACGGCTTGCACGTGAAATGCCGCAACGAGTGTCGTTGAAGATGCACTTTCCTGAAGGTCGGAAGTGGAAGCAATGGAGAAAGCCGGCAAGGTCAGTCAGATTGTCAGTGAGCCATTTCTTCATTGAGCCAGTAGTTTCGCGGCTCTCACCTCGCAAAGCAGGCACCGCAAGTTTCACACTTGTGTGGCTTGCGCTTCTTCATCTCCTCCTCATCTTCGCCTTCGTTGGCAGCAAAGTTCTCTTCAGCGTCCTCAGCCACAATACCAGGGTCGCCGTCGGTGCCCGGGCTGCCGGCAGCATGGTCAGGAGAAGTCTTGTGCATCACAGACGATCCTCCATTGAACGGTATACCGTCTTGGAAAGAATTGTACGAAGAAGGAGAAAATATGTCTTGACCTAGTTGAACCTCGCTTTTGAACGCAGAGGGAGCAGAGAAGGCGATGGGGAAGTGCGTTGGGTGGAAGCCATTGGAGTTGGCGCTAGAGTGAAAGTCTGAAGGTGGGCTGAAAGTGGCGTGGTGATGCTCATGTATGCTCGAGAGGAGCGCACCAGGTTGGACCCCAAGACTCGAGCTGTGATTGTTGGGCTGCATCTGTTGATGCTGAAATGTGTACGAGCCACCCATGGCCGACATGGAGTATGCCGTTGGAAATGCATTCGCACCCGTGATAGTAGCGCTGCTTGCCCCAGAGGGAGCGTCCCAGATCAAATCATCCTCTTCGACACGCATCGTGACCTTTTGTGGGTGTATTGATCGGCTGCAGAGTCAGTGTATGCGTCTTATGAAGGGTATGATGATGATGTTGAAGGAGGGGAAGAAGGGGGAGAGGGGGGCTTACCTTTGCACGACCAGTGGCCAGATGGAATTCTTTGACTCACGACTGTCGACGCGGTTGATGTGTATCTCAAAACAAGGGGTTGAGCTGCAGTAGCGAGACGCCAAACTCACCTGCGTACAGCAGCGTCTCGTCTCTGTAGACGTTCTGCCTCTAGGGCTGCGAGCGTATGTAGGAACTGTCTGGTGCACTATGCGTGCGCTTCTATCCCTGCTAGCCGGACTTGTCTCAGAGGTCTGCGTGGACGTGCAGTGCAGTCTGTGAGCGCAATTGGCTAGATGGTGGAGAGCGTTGTGCAGTGGCGGGCATTGGAACGGTAC